GACAATCCAGGAAGTTTTTGGAAAGCGTAGGGGACAATTTCCTGGTGCAAGTGCTAGAGGAGCCAACTAGGGGGGGCGCTTTTCTTGACCTGCTGCTCACAAACCGGGTAGAACTAGTGGGGGAAGCAAAAGTGGATGGGAATCTGGGAGGCAGTGACCATGAGTTGGTTGAGTTCAGGATCCTGACGCAGGGAAGAAAGGTAAGCAGGATACGGACCCTGGACTTCAGGAAAGCAGACTTCGACTCCCTCAGGGAACGGATGGCCAGGATCCCCTGGGGGACTAACTTGAAGGGGAAAGGAGTCCAGGAGAGCTGGCTGTATTTCAAGGAATCCCTGTTGAGGTTACAGGGACAAACCATCCCAATGAGTCGAAAGAATAGTAAATATGGCAGGCGACCAGCTTGGCTTAATGGTGAAATCCTAGCGGATCTTAAGCATAAAAAAGAAGCTTACAAGAAGTGGAAGGTTGGACATATGACCAGGGAAGAGTATAAAAATATTGCTCGGGCATGTAGGAATGATATCAGGAGGGCGAAATCACACCTGGAGCTGCAGCTAGCAAGAGATGTCAAGAGTAACAAGAAGGGTTTCTTCAGGTATGTTGGCAACAAGAAGAAAGCCAAGGAAAGCGTGGGCCCCTTACTGAATGAGGGAGGCAACCTAGTGACAGAGGATGTGGAAAAAGCTAATGTACTCAATGCTTTTTTTGCCTCTGTCTTCACTAACAAGATCAGCTCCCAGACTGCTGCGCTGGGCATCACAAAATGGGGAAGAGATGGCCAGCCCTCTGTGGAGATAGAGGTGGTTTGGGACTATTTAGAAAAGCTGGACATGCACAAGTCCATGGGGCCGGATGCGTTGCATCCGAGAGTGCTGAAGGAATTGGCGGCTGTGATTGCAGAGCTGTTGGCCATGATCTTTGAAAACTCGTGGCGATCGGGGGAAGTCCCGGACGACTGGAAAAAGGCTAATGTAGTGCCAATCTTTAAAAAAGGGAAGAAGGAGGATCCTGGGAACTACAGGCCAGTCAGCCTCACCTCAGTCCCCGGAAAAATCATCGAGCAGGTCCTCAAGGAATCAGTCCTGAAGCACTTACACGAGAGGAAAGTGATCAGGAACAGTCAGCATGGATTCACCAAGGGAAAGTCATGCCTGACTAATCTAATCGCCTTCTATGATGAGATAACTGGTTCTGTGGATGAAGGGAAAGCAGTGGATGTATTGTTTCTTGACTTCAGCAAAGCTTTTGAAACGGTCTCCCACAGTATTTTTGTCAGAAAGTTAAAGAAGTGTGGGCTGGATGAATGGACTATAAGGTGGGTAGAAAGTTGGCTAGATTGACGGGCTCAACGGGTAGTAATCAATGGCTCCATGTCTAGTTGGCAGCTGGTGTCAAGTGGAGTGCACCAAGGGTCAGTCCTGGGGCCGGTTTTGTTCAATATCTTCATAAATGATCTGGAGGATGGTGTGGATTGCACTCTCAGCAAATTTGCGGATGATACTAAACTAGTACTGGTAGATACGGTGGCAGGTAGGGATAGGATACAGAGGGACCTAGACAAATTGGAGGATTGGGCCAAAAGAAATCTGATGAGGTTCAACAAGGATAAGTGCAGGGTCCTGCACTTAGGACGGAAGAATCCAATGCACAGCTACAGACTAGGGACCGAATGGCTAGGCAGCAGTTCTGCGGAAAAGGACCTGGGGGTGACAGTGGACAAGAAGCTGGATATGAGTCAACAGTGCGCCCTTGTTGCCAAGAAGGCCAATGGCATTTTGGGATGTATACGTAGGGGCATAGCCAGCAGATCGAGGGACGTGATCATTCCCCTCTATTCGACATTGGTGAGGCCTCATCTGGAGAACTGTGTCCAGTTTTGGGCCCCACACTACAAGAAGGATGTGGATAAATTGGAAAACTTCCAGCGGAGGGCAACAAAAATGATTAGGGGTCTGGAACACATGACTTATGAGGAGAGGCTGAGGGAACCGGGATTGTTTAGTCTGTAGAAGAGAAGAATGAGGGGGGATTTGATAGCTGCTTTCAACTACCTGAGAGGTAGTTCCAAAGAGGATGGTTCTAGACTGTTCTCAGTGGTAGAAGATGACAGGACAAGGAGTAATGGTCTCAAGTTGCAGTGGGGGAGGTTTAGGTCGGATATTAGGAAAAACTTTTTCACTAGGAAGGTGGTGAAACACTGGAATGCGTTACCTAGGGAGGTGGTAGAATCTCTATCCTTAGAAGTTTTTAAGGTCAGGCTTGACAAAGCCCTGGCTGGGATGATTTAATTGAGGATTGGTCCTGCTTTGAGCAGGGGGTTGGACTAGATGACCTCCTGAGGTCCCTTCCAACCCTGATATTCTATGATTCTATGTGGGTGAAACCAGACAATAACTATGCTCTCAAATGAATTCACACAGGAAAAAGACAAAAGCACTGTATAAACTGTGGGTGAAGACTTTCCACAAAGCAATTGTTCTATATCTGACTTCTCAGTTCTCATCTTCGCAGGAAACCGGCACAACACCTTCAAAAGACGAGCCTCGGAGTTAAATTCATAACTTTGCTAGACACTAAAAATCATGATCTTAATAAAGAGACCAGATTTATGGCGTCTTACAACAATCAATAACCCAATAACTCCCTTTTTTTGTTCTATGACCGGAAGGGTGTTAATTGGCCACTTCACCTTGAATAGTCCCTTAGAATATTCATGAACTACTTATGTGAAACAACCTGGTCCAGCTTGTATTTAGCCGTGACCCTTTGGGTATGTCTACACGACCATTAAAAACCCACGCTGGCCTGTCCCCGCTGACCCGTCTCCTGGGGCTCTGGCTAAGGGGTTCTTTAATCGCACATTAGATGTTCGGGCTAGGGCTGGAGCCTGGGCTCTCGGAACCTGCAAGGTGGGAAGGTCCCAGAGGCCTGCAGCCCGAGCCCAAACATCTATCAGAATTAAACAGCCCCTTAGCCCAAGTCAGCCAGCACAGGCCAGCCATGGGTGTCTAATTGCAGTGTAGGCATACCCTCTGAACACCTTCTCCAGACCTGAAGAGGTCTGTGCAGTACAGAAGCTTGAAACTCTCTCCAACAGAAGTTGATCCAACAAAACATATTACCCCCCCCCCCCCGTCTCTCTGATATTCTGGGACCAACACAGCTAAACACTGCACACAATCCAGACGCAGTCGCCACCTGAAGGCCAAGAACCAGAGGACAGCATAGCTGCCTACGAATTGATTGAGGGGTGGGAGTGGGGCCTAGGGACCCAACACCTGCCAGCCCTGCAAACTCCCTCCCTTCCCTCCCCACCTGGGAGCCAGACAGCAAGCTGGGTTCTTTCCACCGCTAACCTCGCATCGTCAGGGGCAGTTTTTAAGCACTGGCAGCAACAGTCTGTGGCCGGAGGATCTGGGGGTCCTGCTGATGACACGACAGGCACAATAAACTCTAATTTGCTCCCCTGTATTTATGTCGGTGTCTGTCAAGGCAAGAGACCCAACTCAGATGCACGGCAAGGGGGGGAAGAGGCCATTCTTAGAGACAACGCAGCCAAGCCCTCCCCTCGAGGCAGAGCTGGAAGGAGGACACAGGGGCTCTCCCTGTCTGGAGGCTGGGAGCAGTGATCTCGCCTTACTGCAACTTCATTTTGTGCCTAGCTCTGCCTTGTCCCACATAATGAGACTGGACAGAATTTATTTTTTTTAATCATTTCATCTGATAATATCCATGTTCATTACTAAACGGTTATCATTTTTATCAATTTACATCTTCACAGTTGTGCAAAGTTATGGATTTTAAGTATTTTTTCAATTTTTATTGATGTAAATTTTCACCTTTGTGGGAAACTGTTGGGGGGGGTGGGGGTCAGACAATTACTTAATGCCCGTAGATGTTGAGATTCAAATAGTTTTAAATCTTTGTAAAATGTTAAAACACAAACTGACAACATCACATGTTAAAATATACAACGTGAATAGCCTTAAATCAAACCCTGGTATGTTCTCAAGCAGGATTTCTCTTACTTTACCTATCTGTAAATGTCGGTCATGATGGATGGAAATATTTTGTGGGTTCCTGAGTGTTTGATGAAATCAACATTTACCAGGAAAAAATCAAATCCTTCCTGGCCACCCCACCTGGCCCTGGTGGTCGATGCTGTTACTGCTCCATTAGTGACTAGAAATTAGCCACTGCCAACTCTCATGATTTGGCATAAAGTGAGCTGTAGCTCACGAAAGCTTATGCTCAAATAAATTGGTTAGCTTCTAAGGTGCCACAAGTCCTCCTTTTCTTTTTGCGGATACAGACTAACACCACTGCTACTCTGAAACATGATAATTACTGCTTTCCTTAAAGCCCCAGCTCCTGGAGTCACGGGGGTATGGGACGATTTTTTGCCACCATTCTTAAACAAAAAAGTAAGTTTCTAGGCTGGCGTGGAGATAGCTTCAAAACGTGCACCCTTGAAGGCTCAACAAACAGAAGGCAAACAAAAAGAACCCCAAATCTAGTACGTTTACATCACTGCATGATTTTCGGGGAGCCCGATTCAGGATTTTCGGACACTTGGGGCTGGCGGGGCTGCCTGGCGGAAACGGGGGGCTGCCAGGCTCTGGCGCAGTGGGGTTTGCTGAGGCTCCCGAGCCCCAATTTCAGCTCCTGGCCCACGGGGAGAGGCGGCAGCGTCTCCCCAGGCCCCCTTCCCGCCCAGCCCCTCTCCTCTCCCCACAGCCCCCCGCTCAGTGCGCCCAGCAACCCCGGCCAGCCCCCTGGGGCCAGGCACCGCTGGGGCAGCGCTAGGCTCGGCCCCACGGCAGGGGGCTCCCCGGGATCTCCGGCCTCAGGCTGTCGGCTGGCTCCGCAGAGCCGGGTCTGCCCTGCCCCGGGGCCCCGCGGCCTCCGCTCGGCCCCGGCCCCGGCCCCGGGGCCTCCACTCCGCTCCGCTCCCCCGGCCCGGGGCCTCCGCTCCGCTCCCCCGGCCCGGGGCGCACCTGGCCCTGGTGGTCGACGTAGTAGAAATACTCCCGGGCGCGGGGCGAGGGGCTCTGGCCCTGCGTGTAGGCGGCGGGGCCCGCGGGCCGCAGCAGGAAGCGGAGCCCGCCGCGGAGCAGCCTCATGGCCGGGGCCGGCCGCGGTTACCCTGGAGCGGCGGGTCCGGCCGCGCAGCCGCTCCCCGGCCCTGCGCTCGCGTTCCGGGCCCGGGCTCCCTCCCCGGGCCGGCCCCAATTAACCCCCCCACCCCCCAGCACTGGCCGGCCCCGCCCTTGCCCCCCTCATTACCCCCCCAGTAATGGCTGGCCCCGCCCTTGTCCCCCCCCCGACTAACCCCCCCAGCACTGGCCGGTCTGACCCCAATTACCCCCCCCAGCACTGGCCGGTCCGGCCCGTCTCCCCCTCCCCTAATTAACCCCCCCAGCACAGGTCCTCCCCCCAGCACTGGCCAGCCCGCCCCCATATTGCCCACCCCAATTAACTCCCCCCAGCACTGGCCAGCCCGCCCCCATATTGCCCACCCCAATTAACTCCCCCCAGCACTGGCCAGCCTGCCCCCGTCTCCACCTCCCCCAATTAACCCCCCCCCCAAGCACTGGCCAGCCTGCCCCCGTCTCCCCCTCCCCCACTAACCCCCCCCCAAGCACTGGCCAGCCTGCCCCCGTCTCCCCCTTCCCCAATTAACCCCCCCCCAAGCACTGGCCAGGCTGCCCCCCCCCCCGCATCACCCTGCCCCAATTAACTCCTGCTCAGCACCCTTCCCCCTTCCCCCTGTCCTTGGTGGACTGATCTCCCCGGGGCTGCAAGGTGACCGGTCCTCACACAGCAGCAGGAACAGGACTACCTTTGATGCGGTTTTCTGCACCCGCCAGGCAGGGACATTTCACCTAGAGGGGTGCTAGAAATAGAAACCAGCCCAGGCAAATTCCCGCCATCTGCAGGAAAAGAACCGGAAACTCTGATCCTGACTGTGAGGGTGGAACCTGGGGCAGGAAGGGCTGAGAGAGACAGAGGGGCAGGGAATCAGGCCAGAGTTTGCAGTGGGATATGGGAACAAGAGAGGCCCGTGTGACATGAGGTGGCATGTGCAGAGGCCTCCGAGCAGCGAGGGCAGAGTCAGTCACGCTCAGTGTAACGTCCCCCTGGCTCAGTAATACTCTGTTCAACTTCCAAAGGCCTCCCCTAATTCTGGGGGCCTCCAGTGTCCGGTGCCCAGCCCCAGACACTTGTGCCCGGATAGTCCGAGCTGCTGAGCGTGTCCCCAGCTCCCGCTGCTTCCGGTACAGTTGCTCAGCACGGCTCTGAACCAGGCCCAGGGTTGGGGAAAGGCTGGCCCCACACCTAGGGAGAGAAGGGGTGTTGGCAGCCTGCGACACTGATTGTTTAACTCCTTTGCTGGGTGCCATGCTCTGCTGGCCTGGAATTGGGAAATTCAAGGAACCTTTCCCAGCAGGGAGTTGTTGGGCTGTGGAGAAGCCTCCTAAAGGGAGCAGTGGATGCGCCATCCTTGGAGAATTCACTTTTGGGACCAGGCCTGCCCTGATCCCCAGGCAATAGACCAGATGTAGGCCCTAGCAGGCCTTTTTCATCGCCAGCTTTTACAATTCCTTCCACCTGTGATCAGCAGGGGTGCAAGTCCCTGGTCTCACCTCAGGAGGCAGTGCCCCTCTGCTGAACCACCGTGCCTGTGTGCGCCCAGACAGCTTGTACGGTATTGATTGACGAGAGTAAAGCCAGCCCTTCTGGGTGCTGAGCTCACAGGTGCTTCAGGCTGGGTGAGCTAAACCCAGGGGGGAGGGATAGCTCAGTGGTTTGAGCATTAGCCTGCTAAACCCAGGGTTGTGAGTTCAATCCTTGAGGGGGCCATTTAGGGATCTGGGGCAAACATTGGGGACTGGTCCCACTTTGAGCAGGGGGTTGGACAAGATGACCTCCTGAGGTCCCTTCCAACCCTGATATTCTATGATTCCATGAAACTCCCTCTGCTCGGGTGATGAAGGCAGCGTTATGGGAGCCCCAGCTCCCCTGCCTGGCTGAGCAGAGGGTTGACCGCTAAGGCACCAGATTGGCTGCTCCTGGTTATTTTTGATCATATCCTGTAACGCCAGCCTTGCTGGCCAATGTGCAGGTGCCCTTGATGCAGTGAGCTCTGCCCTCGGTCGCATACAGAGTAAGATTCCCCCAGCCCAGCCCCTCCCCACACATTCAATGAGCTTTTGAAAAATATGTAGATCTATTTGGGGATTTTTAATTTTTTTTTTTTTTTTTTTTTGCTTCCTGGTTTCTGAGTCTTTAGGGGTCGCTGGAGTCACGTTTTAAAACTTTCCCGTTACCAGAAGGGCTAGAAAGTTGCTCTTTTAACAAATACAAGCTGGGAGGTTCCCACAATTACCTGACAGCAGGCACTGAGGCTGTAGGACATGCCCCAGATACCCCCAAGTTAGTGTCACCAACTCCCAGCTCCAAAGGTCAGTCGCCCCCCCCCACCCCCCCAGAATATTAAGAGTTGGCTTAAAAATCAGATTTTAAAAAATCATCCAGCTGGGGCCTTTTCTTGGCCTCTGGATGTTGGAGTCTTTAGAAGTCACGTTTTCCAAGTCTCCTCTGCAACCATGAGGGGTGGAAACCAACTCCCCTTGGCCCCCTTTCTCCGTCAGGCCCCTGGAAGTTACAACCTCTTTCCATACCACACGCCAAGGCTGAGATTTCCACCCAGTCCCAGGACTCCAGGAACTGGGGCTTTAAGCGAACCACCAAATATCATGAGACTTGTGCTACAATCCCAAGAGACTTAGCGAAGGGTTGAAATCGAACACAGCCTGATGCTGCTTGTTCCAGGGATGTTTGGCAGACCTGTTGCAGGTGCGGAGGGGAGCCATGTACCCGGGGCGGGGAGGGGCTAGCAGGCCAGCTGGTGGGGTGTGCACACCGGGGTGTTTGGTGACCATCAATTGTGTAACTGAACCCTAATAAAAAGCACTGAGCTCCTGAGACTTGGGTGGCCCCTGGGAGCTCTCCAAAAGCTGGGAGCAGAACCTGTGCCCAGCTGACCACCAGTTTATCAGGGGCAGAGGACACCTTGTATATTTATTCTCTGTGTAGTGTTGCGGGGGCATTAGAGACAAAGCCAATGATACAGTCCCTGGCCCCAGGTGTCTGGAGTCAGATCTGTGGCCCTGGGGCTCCTGGACTCTTGAGTTCCAGCTTCAGAAGCCAAGAGAGGAAGTTTTGACCTAGAACCGTTGGTGTGTGACAGTCAGAGCCTCCTCTCAGCCTGGCTGAGGTCCACTGCCTGCAGAGGCTGCTCCTGATGGATGCAGGTGTAGCAGGCAGAGCCAGGGCCCTGCTGGGTCTTTGGGAGGCTGTGGCCATGGTGAGACCTCCAGCTGGCAGCACTCGGAGAGAGAACCGGGGGAAGTGTCACCACCCTGCCCTGGCTAGGACCTTTGCTCTGTGCTAAACCTGGGGGATCCGGAGCTCAGACGGGGCGTGATGCTGATCTCCCAGTGTGATGCAGGGGTAGTCCCGTGGTGGCCAATGGAAAGAGGCGTATCGAGGCTAGAGGGGATGTGAACGAATGGAACTGACACCTCAAGCCCATCCCCATCCTCCCACCTCTGGGGCAGAGAAACTCCCAGTAACTTCCCAGGCACATCCACCTGCTGCCACACAGGCCGGTCAGTGCCCCCCAACCCATCCCAGTGGTGTAAGGGATCCTGGCTTTGCACTCAATGCCAGCTTGGTGCTTTGCCAATTGCCCCATCTGACCCAAAGCTCCAGAAGGAGAGGTGCTGTCTTCCAAACCACAGGTAAAACCGAGGCCCCGAGCACTTGGAATCAGTGAAGATCCCCAGGAGTCAGGATGCAACCCAAAGTATCCTGGCTGGGTCCCAACTCAGCTAATCCCATTCCACTTCCCTAATTTTCTCCTATCCTTGTTATGTAGTGTCACTGTGTGATGTTAAACAGCTGCTGCTTTCTACCCCAGAGCGGGCTGCATTTCAGTGGTGGGTGAAAGATGTGATCCTCATCTCACAATGGTATGAATCAGGAGAGGTTCACCTGAAGTTGATGGAGAGACCCTGGTACTAAGGACAGAGACTCAGGCTCCGTTTGCTTTGGTCTTGTTCAGGAAATGTAACGAATTGTGGACTTCTGAGGTTATTGGAGCCCACTGGCAGAGCGTGTGCATCACTCTCACTCTAGCTGATCAGCTAGAGGATAACAGCCTGCTGCTGCTACCAGCCTATGGAGTTCCTTCTTTAGTTTGAGTGGCAGGGTCCTTTGTTCTTGAAGTCCTGGTGTTCAAATCCAGCCCACGAGCTGTGCAGGGGAGGTTGTGATGTTACCCCCCCCTGCTAATGGGGGCTCTGTGCGTGTCTGGGGGGAGAAGGGACCCTTTACACATGCAGGAAACAGACGCAGCTACCAACACCCAGGACATGCAGCACAGGGGAATGTCCATATGTAGCTTTATTCACACAACATGGAGTCGCTGCTACCTGTCCATGCTTCATAATTACAGAGTTAGTCAGACAACGTTACACGGTAGGTTGCCCCCCTAATCGCCTTCACGGCCCGTGGCATTAAAGGTCAAAGGTTACTCAGCATGTCTCATGAATGTCCATCTCCGCCGTGAATGCGGATGGCAGAGAGAGCCGAGTCTCGTCTGTGTCCCTTCAGGTGGTTGCTTGCAGCCTGCCCAGTGCCTGAGATGATTGTCCAAGGAAAACATCGGGGAGGGGGGGAGGGCATCAGACTTTCAAATTCACCTTGACACTTGAAAGGAAGGAACAAAAAAGAGACAGAAACACAGTGTCCAGCAACGACCTCAGTGATCCCAGGCAAAGCACAATTCCTGGCTAGGGAACCCATTGTGGTAACATGGTGACTCCATCTGCTGGGGCTGGCTTGGGCCAGGCAGCACTGCTCTCCAGCCTCTGCACCATGTCAGCGACAGGCCAAATCACTAATATCACCAGCTGAGGAATGATGCCAGGCACTGAGCCAGATCCTGATCTCAGTCACACGGGTCTAGCTCTAGCTCTGAGTGACTCCACTGGGCCGGGTTCTGCTCACACTTCCCCTCCGCTCACCAGGATGAAGTTGCTCTTGATTTGGGCTGGTGTCAATGCAGGATCAGGCCCATCGACTGTGGACTCGCCCCAGACTGACCTGTGTTAACCCAGAATCCAGCCCTTTGGCTGGATATACTATATGCTAGGGGCTGGCCCACAAGGGCTGGCCTGGTTTGTTCCGGCTGTAATGTGGGCCTGTGAGCTCACGCGGGTGTAAACTGAGGGGGTGGGGGACACGCTATGGAGTCAGCGGAGTGGTGGAGGTGAGAGGAGAATCAGGCCCAGTTGCTGGATTGTCTGGGTTCTGCTTTGCCTGTGGAATTTAGTGCTGGTGAGAGATGCCAGACTGAATGCCCTGGACAGCAGAACGGGCACAGGCAGGCTCCACATTGCCAACAAGCCCAGCCCCACCTGGAGAGACCCCCTGGGGTGGGGGAGCAGAGAGTTGCGGGTCGCATGTGCTGAGGCACATTAGTGGTTAGTCACTGAGTAGTTAAAAGCAAGTTTCACTTTATGGGGTTTCTTTGTCTGGAACGGACCCAGTGAGGGTGGGGTGGTGGGAATCTTTGTCGCCCATTGATGGAGAATGCACCTCCAGCCCCAAACACCCTCCGGAGCAGTCGCCTTTGTCTCCCGTAATGTCTGGCTCCCTCCTTGCTGTCCCTCCATGAGTGGTTTGGTTTGTTCTTTTTTTGTCTTTTTAATAATAAATAAAAACCCAAGTCTAAAAAAATTGATATATAAAATCGAGGGGGAAAACCGAGTTTATGACGACAAGAACAAAGTCAGAACATCTGAAACATACAAAGCTGGAGAAAGGCCAGTTCCATCTAAGAATAAAACAAAATGAAGAAGGGGGAGAATCAGCTCCAGAGCTTCTAATGAGATCAAAAGAGCTTCTGGATAGCTAGAAAATCTCTGTACAACTCCTGTCTTGAACTGAGAAAAGTTGGAGCCAATGAAAAGAGAATCGGTGTCAAACCCCCGTTCCTCATGCACTGGGATTCAGGCCAGTACCTCCAGCATTAATGCCCAGTCTACCACTGAAGTCAAGGGTACAATTCCCACTGGCTTCAGTGGGGCCAGGATCCAGCCCCCTGATCTCCTGCCAGTGTAAATCTGGAGTAAAAACCACTGATGTGGATGGATTTGCGCTTGGGTAAATGAGACAAGAACTAGAATTTGGTTCAACAGGACAAGCCTGTTCAGGCTGCAATTCCAGTCCCCAGCTTGGGAAAACCTCCAGCCACTGCTGGGAAAGGCCTGATGGGTTCCCACCTGGGCACATGCAAATGGATAATGCTAAAGCAAATCAACCAAGAGTTACACAGAGATTTGTGGGTAGCAAGCACACAACAGGGCTCCCCACACAACCGGGGGTCCCCATATATGGCTCCTCCAGCAGGGGGACAGCAAGGAGATGGGCCGAACGCTCTGTAACAAACAGCTACGTGCCAGTCACTTCCTTTGGCCGTATGGACGCTGACCAAGTCCTAGAGACACATTGCCTAGGAATTCAGCACTAATCTGCGTCTGCTTATTCCATGGTGGCCCCAGCAGTGCATTGCTCCCTGCCACACATGGGGTCAAACTCATCCCTGGCTTCCAGGGATTCATTATAGGGATGAATTTGCCCCTTCCCCTATTTAAAGGGACACTGCCAGGTTAAAAATCCCTTCCCTGGCTTCCTAGCAGCATCTACGGTTATTTGATCAGCTCAGGCTGTGCAGCTAGATGGGTCAGTTTCACTTCCTGGTTCTCAGGCAATAGCCCAGGGCTCTTTGAGGAGCAGGGACAATTTCAATCTCATTTTGAATGTTGACCAGGCAGATTTCATGAACCCTTCCCCACTGCCGCCTGGTGGTCAGACAATTCCTGTAACACACAGCCTGTGTTTCTGGCCAAAACTCCCCGACAACGTCCCTTGAAAGAGCCACGTTCCTCTAGGTTTTGGTACCTGTGGGAAGGTGTAGCCCCTGGGGAGAAGGGGCTCCCAGCCCTGTCTGGAAACTCAAGAGCCAGCTCCTGATCTCAATGTAGGGGAGATCTCTCCAGATTCGCCGAGATCAGAATCCAGCCCCAAGACCCTGCACGGGCCCAGTGATGCCCTTGCTACACTAGTGCGACTCCTACGGGCTTCGAGAGCAGAGACAGCAGGCACTGGGTCCAAGAGGGTTGCACCCAACAGTGCCTCCTCGGCTGCTCCCAAGCTGCTCTGTCAGTAAGACCCAGGGAGCTGCGCTCAGGGTCCCTGGGGCACGATCTGGCCCTCGGCAAGGTGTGGAACTCAGGCAAGCAGTGTGCACATTCTTACTGCCGTAAACCAGCCAGAGGGGAGACTTCAGTGCCAGAAACAACCTGGTGGGCACTGAGCCTTAGTTAAACCTGTCGTGTGTGGCTGCCTGGGAGAGCAGCAGAGACTCAATCAGCTGCTTAGTAGAGATGGCTCTTAGAGCAGGGCCCCATTGGGCTGGACCCTCAGCACCCAGCAAGGAACTGCCAGTACCTCACTGCTGGGGGACCCTAACATTTCACCTTTGCCTTCTTGACTGATCCTGCGGCAACGAGCCTGGGAATGGCCAGGCGGCCCCTGCACTCGGCTGAGTGGAGTCAGCACCGCAGAAGGTCCTGTCCCTAAGGGAGCCTTTCTCTACAGGACGCAGGGGGAAGAGGATTATTATTTTTTGGTCAGAAGCCATGAAAAAACCCTGCAATGGAACCCCCCCAAACAAACTGGGACAAAAGCTAATTCTTGTGCAATGAAAGGGCGACAGACAATGGCTCTAAAGATAAATAGCATCTGGATTTAAAACTATGTCATTAGCGATTTTTACTATGTATATCTCTCTCTCTTTATATCTCTCTATATAATCTTACTGGCCTGGGATGCGTCATAACATTCCAGCTTTACAGGAACGCATTAAATAAAAATAATCTCCCTCTCCATCGCTCTTGCTCCTGTTGCTGGAGCTACTCCAGACCTTGCTTCTAGAATCTTGCCCTCCCTGCCCTGCCGGGGGGACAGGTTAAATGGTTTGGGAGGCCCCTTCCATTTGTAAGTTCTACTGGTGAAAGAGGGGACACAGGGTACCACTTGCACCCAGAAACCCCAGCTGGGGTGTCGCCTGACCTTGCCCAATCTCGTCTCTGCTAGCACTGTACATCCAGACTGCTATCTTCAGTGGTTGAGCAGGTGTCTCTAGGTGAGTCCATGAAAGAGCTGGGTTTCTGCTGATTGAGGGTCCAATCCTGAGAAGGGCCGAGGGTCCTAACCTCCTACTGACGACATGGGAGCTGAGGGCCCTCGACAGCTCACAGGGCCAGGCCCATGAGCAGCAGAGTTGCTGGGTCCTGAAAGGAGGCTTGCCCAGCCAGATGGGAGCCTGGTCTGGGGCCTCCACCATTTTTGCTTTCGGATCCAGTACAGGCACTGATTAAGCATGACTCACATTGCAGCCTGGGGGTGCCTACGTCACCAGGCCACTGAAAGAGGGCAAAACAAATGAGCACCAGCCAAAGGAGTGTCCCTCCCAGGTGCGAGGAAGCAGCTCTCCTCACGCCCTTCTCCTGGAGCCTGCAGTGAGCAACATTGGCTGTTTGCTTTGGGAAGTGCAAAAGCGGCTTCATTACTCACACCAGCTCCAAGACCAGGCTACTGCAACAGGTAGAAACCCTGATACACAAGCCCTCCATGGTGCTGACGTTGTACCCCCTGCTGACAACTCCCGCTCCTGCAGCAAGCGTCTGGAGCCCGCTGCAGCCTGGGACATCTTTGGGGACACATTGATTCCATGGACTTTGCAGGAGGGCTAGGGGAAACAGCCAGTCACAGGGCAAACGAACGGACTGCGGGGCTGACCCTGCTCTCTCATGCTGCCCTAGGCCTCGGGTTTAATGACACTGGGCACGGAGAGTTACAGGAGACCTGGTCAGAAAGCCCACCAGCCTCTGTGGGGAGAACCATGATTCTCAGAGGGGAATTTCCCGTGCTGAAGCCATCAGATGACTTGGTAACAGGAAAGTAAGTGGGAAGGACCCTCCGCCTCCCCACTTTGGTCTGTTGCAGCATCTGGAGCTTATCTGAATGGTTACCTGATTACAGCCCTTAGAAGTATTTACAAGGCCTACAAGCCAGAGTCACAGAGGGTTTGTCTACACTGCAGTCAGACAATTGCTGACTCTGGCTCGTGGGGGGGGGGGGCGCTCGGGCTAAGGGGCTGTTTAATTGCGGTGTAAATGTTCGCGCTCAGGCTGAGCCCGGGCTCTGGGACCCGCCCCCCTTGCAGCGTCCCAGAGCCCAGGCTCCAGCCCGAGCCTGGACGTCTACACCGCAGTGAAACAGCCCCTTAGCCTGAGCCCTGCAAGCACGAGGCAGCAGGCCCGGCCAGCTGTGGGTTTTTAATTGCCATGTGGACATACGGAAACAGGCCAGACATGGCAGGCTGGGGGTGTAACTGACAAGAGGCTCCCCAAGGTACGGATCAATCACACAGCTAAGAGGGTTTGTCCAGGCCCAGCCCAGTGAAATCCACTTCCCATTCCAAGTCCTGGGGGGTGGAAATGGCTCAGCACATGCTATCTCCGACCCAGCGTGCTGTGGGGAATGGGCAAGTGACCCACACAAGCAGCACCCTGGGAGCTGTGCGGCGGGCGCTACCCCCCGGGACAAGCCTGCACTCCTCACTCCCGGGAACATCCCACGGGCACCCATGGAACGACTCACTGGGACTTGCAGGAACACACCTGAAAGCTCTTGTTGAGCTGGGGACAGCACCCATGGGTTTCATCCAGCAGGGTGCAGGGAGCTTTCAGCTCCCTTCCTCTCTGGCAGGGGCTAGTGGTGCTCAGCACTGCCTGGGCTCAGGGAAATGGCTGGAACACATCAGCCGGCAACGCGGACACCGCACGCGTCCACGTTGGTGGCAAGAATAACATTTCGGGTAGGAAGGGATGAAATCTCACTGTCAGACTGGAGAAGAGAAGCCCAGGCCAAAGAAACCCCAGCTGAGATCGGGGCGGGGTGGGGGGTGAGTGCAGCCGGTTGGAACCGCGAGGAACCAAGGAAGGTTGGAGACACGAGACAGGTTAGTTAATCCGTCCCACACAGCATTTGATACCCAGAGGCAGAACAGACTGCTCTCCAGGAGGGTATGGGACTTCACAGAGAGACTGAGGACAAAAGCACCAGCCACTGCAGGGTTGCCAGGCTCACCGCTGGACTGCCCAGGCTCCTCACAGCACCTATGTCTCACTCCTTTCCCGGCAGGTGTGTGGGCAGGGAGGGTGTTTGCTGCTGGGGCTGGCTCTGGGCTGGCAGTAGCTGTTTCTCCCAGGGAGCTGAAGGCACTTGCTCTTTATAGCTGCATGGAGGGAATCATGTCACGTCTGGGCTCCAGCTCTGCATACTTGTCCCTGCCATCGTCCAAGACTCTGGGTTTCATGTGCATGGGGTTACACCCCATCCCTCCCCCAGCAGGTTCCCTGATGCCCATCATCCCTCTGAGGAACAGGCTCGCTGGGATGGTTCGGCTCTCTTTTCCTTTCGCTGAGAAAGGCTGGAGGGAGGGACTGGTGAGAAGCTGTGAAAACACCAAGGGGTTAATCTCTTAGGCAGCCCAGGTGCTGGCGAGTTCCCAGGGACTCCCTTCCCCAAGGAGGCTGTAGGGAAGTAACTAACCAGACGCTCAAAGCTGTCAGCCAGGGAGCAGTGTGACATGAGGCCCCTCCTCCAGGCTGGAAGAACTGCTGGCCTTTGGGTCACAGCCTCCTTGGCGGACTGTGGAACTCCTTGCCACAGGAGGACCAGCCCAAGCCTGAGTGTGTTTGCCACTCAATGAGAAACCTTCCCTGGTGATGAAATGCATCCTTCTTCGTGGCCAGGTGATGAGGAGGAGGAGAGAGAAGGAAAAGAAAGATTTATTGTACCAGTGAATGAATCCTGGAGAATGACAAGTGAGGGCCCAGTGGGCAATTTTAGCATTACCCTATTGTGTGTTCTTGGCACTTAGTCACGCAGTGACAACACATGAGAAATACCCGAGATGACAGACGGCTAGATCTGACTTGCTTCTGTTCCCTGACCCTGTTTAAGCCCAGCCTGTCTCTAACAGCAGGAGTTGCTCCTTCCCTGTCAGTAGGAAGGAAAATGTCCCGGAGAGGGGGATGTTCCCACCTTGGTGGGGATTCCCGCTGGACTCTCCTGCCCGACCATGTGCGACCGGCCCCACCGGTGCTTTGCGGTGCCTCCACACAGCCGTTGCGGTCGCAGAGAGCAGCACGTTGCTCCTGTGGGGATGGGAGCTACAGAAGGCAGGCCAGAGGCCCCTGACGCACCCCAGCACTGTGGGACGCACAGCGGGTATGCACTGCACTCTGCTCCTCGCACCCAGGGCTTCGTCATCGACCTGACACCCAAGGTATTAGACACTCAGCCGGACTCTCTGGGGCTCTCCTGAGACACCTCGCGGGGGATGGGATGGGGCTCTCCACCCAGGACCCGGTGCAGGTTTCTCTCCGGGTGAGACCTGCCTCGAGCCACAAGGATGCTGTGGAGTATGGACACTGCACCGCTGGCAGGTCGGTGAGCTCGCGGCTCCCTAGAGCGCCTGCTGTGGGGCACCCAGCCATTGCACGCTGCCACGTGCTGAGCAGCGCCGAGGACCCAGCTGCCTGCCACAGACTGATGGCAGTGTGAGATGAAAACAAGGTCTCAGCGAGGCAGGAGGGGCCTGTGGGCACAGTGCTCCGGTGCAAGTAGATGTGGGCTGTCCATGCTCAGGCTGTCCGGGGTGAGAGGGGGGAACCATCACAGCTGAATGCTGAAGTGAGCTGATCGGGAAACAGAGGCTGAGGAGGAATCCAGCGTGGGGGAGCTGTCACTGGATGGGTCCCCCAGGGAGTTAGAGGTCCCTCGGCACAGCGAAGTGAAATCCTCGTGGCTGGCAGAAGGAAAGCAGGTCAGTCACACGCACACATGCAGCCAGTATCTTGCTGCTGCCAAGAGTTCGAATCCCAGCATGAATGGGAATCATCCAGTAAATAGAGGTCAGACAGAAAAAACAGTTCCTCCACTGAGATCCCAAGGAAGCAAGGCTGCAGGTTAAAGAGCACAGCAGGGAGAGAGGCTGGGGAGAAGAGAGTTAACATGGAGAAATGTAAACCTAGATGGTAGGGCACAGAGTCCCTGCCTGAGCACCAGCAGCCAAGAGGTTAACTCTCCTGCAGGGGGTGGGGGTCATGGGCCAGCAGCTCAGGGTTAAAGTGGGGAGCTCTATAAAAACAGGGATACGGGGCAGTGCACTGCAGATCCTCAGAGGCACAGCCCAGTGCCACCACCAGGCTGCTCAGGGGCTGATTTGGTTGCGTCCTGAGCTGGACTCCCTTTTAATACATGCAAACCCTAAAGGCCAACAGACGCTTACGGGGGAACTGGCCTCCGGTAAAGGTGGATTGAGCTGGATATCTGCTAGAGCACAGGCCTGGGGGTGACAGCTGGGCAAGGGGCCAACCGCAGAAGGCATCGAAGCGTGGAGATGCTGGGGCCCAGCACTAGGCTCATGTGGGCATTTGAGACTCGCCAGGCGGCTCGACGAGAAGGGATTTTGCCCATCAGATGGGGAGTCGGAGATGCCAGGGCTACTTTCAGAGACCCAAGTCCAGCCGGCATTGGTCCTGACTGCCCCAAGGAGAGCCCCTCGAGAGGAGGGAACGAGCTGGATTGTAACCATTTCCCAATAGCCTCCCAGCTCCCGTAGAGCAACAGCAGCCATCCGCCTTGGAAATCCTCCGGAGGGCAAGGAAGAGAGAAAACATGGCACTGCTGATGGCTTCAGCTCTGCCATGTGTCCCAGAGCCCTCTGAGCCCGGTGATCCAGAAGCCCCCGACGCCTCGCTGGGGCTGATGCCAAGGGCCATCCAGAACGTGTTGCCAGGTGGGATTTTCACAAGTCTGACCCACACTTTCATTCTCTGACAGCAGGAGAGAACTCCTCGGTCACTCTCTGCCTTCAGGAGCCAGCACCTCTACCCAGAGTGTGTCCCACACTAGCCAAGTGCTTTAAAAGCCTTGCTCATTGCCATGGCTCAGCACAGCAGCCTCCTTGCCCTGGCCGATGCTGCAGAATCCAGCCATGACAGAAAGAAGCCCCGACACGGCCCAGCTGGGATATTGCTACAGTGGAAGGGTTTGGCACGCTGGGTGCTCCCGTGACACCAGCTCCTTGGCAGTCTCCACTCTCCCGACAGCACATCTCTTCCATTGCGCCCGCTTGGCGCCCTGCCCAAAACAACTCTCCTCTGCAGGGCTGATGGAGCTGGGGCCCAGCGAGCCGGGGTCTGACCTGCTGCACGCAGCACCAGCCAGCGCCAGTCTTGTCTGTGTTCATAAACCGAGAAGATGTTGTCTTGGAAATCAGCGATGGAGTTATTGCTGATACCAGGCCCTAGCTGCGCATGGGCCACATGGGCAAAACACCCAGGAAGTTAACTAGCCCTACCCATACTCAGGAGAGTGAAAGTGGAACTTGAGTGCCACCTTTGATGGTCATTCTTCTATCCCCGACTGATTGTTAAATCCATCGTCTGCAGGTAGCTCTGATGGGACACGCACCCTCTGCCTGCACTGTCGCCCTCTTGAGGGCGGGCGGAGATGGCCCACTGCTGAGGGGAGTCAGGAAAAGCCGGGGACAGTCCCCTTCTAGAGATGGCAAGGAACGAGCTCGGGTTATGGGGTTTGCTGAGATGTAGCCGAACCCTGCGCCAGCTGAGCCTGCCACAGCCCAAATGGCAAATGAAGCCCAGCTGCTCCTGGCTGTCCTGCCCTGGAACGGGAGCCCAGGCAGCACGGGAGCCTGAATAGAACGCCAGGACAAACCAGGCTGCAGTCATAGCTTTCTGCCCTGCCCTGAACCTCCCGGTACGGGGTTACATTCAAGGCGCAGAGATCCTGTCTAGAAAGGGCTGGTAGGTCTCAGGGTTTGAGAATTAATCACTGCTGAGTCGACACCCCGCCCTCCCAACACAGACGCTGTGATCAGATCTGGGCTTTACAAGCAGCTGATGAAGAGAAGGAAAGGAAGGGGAAGTGACATCACCGGATGCAGGTGGCTCTGGGTCACAGAGATGCCTCACCACGAGCTTTGCCCGAGAACTTGGAGTTGGTTTTGGCCCCCTCCTCCAGCCATAAAGGGGTCCCTCTTCTCAGCAGGGGGCTGAGCTGATGAGGCCTGCGTGGGGCTTAGACCCCTTCCTACCAAGGGGCTTTATCCTCCCAGATGGATCCATACCCTATTCCACATGAATGTTCCCGCTGGGCATCCCCTAGCTTCCAGGCTGCGTGGGACTGCTGCAAATACCCCCTTGCAGTCCCTGCCTTGAGACTGTCCTACCCACCCTCCCAGCCAGCGCTGGCCCCAGGGCAGGAGCATTGGGAGGCCTTGGTGATGCTCGCTAACTTATTCTGATCTCCCCCTCCGTCCACACTGCCATCTTAAGCACCACCCCCTCCTGCAGCCACCCCTCTCCCCTAGGAAGCATGTGGCAGCTGCAGCCAGCAGTGGCTGTCTCGGACGTCTGCCTGCGAGACACAGCACTCATTAAAGTGCGGTGGCAAGGCCTAGCATCCCACATCCCCAGAGTGGCTGCAGGCCCAGGATGCCGGGCAGGACTCCCGAAGCCTCACCTGCAGGTGGCTGCCACGCCAGGCTAACCCTGCAGGCTGCCCCACGGTGGCTTGGCTGGGGGGATAGGCAGCAACATCTCCAGAGGTCTGGTTCAGGGGAGGGCAGATGTCATTTTGCCAGTAACACTGGCGGGATCCCACCACCACTTCCTGTATGACACTAGAGGGCAAAGGATGATGAGAGATGCTGGGGTGAGAGAGGCGGGACTAGGCCAGCTCATAATGGCTCTGGGGACACGGTGTGACGGGGACGAGAGGCCCTGCCCAGGGCTGCCCAGTGCCTTCCCTTTGTGGTGTCTGGCTCGTGCTCGTCGGCTGATTGACCTGGGGTTTAAGGGGGGTTGGGTGGGTTGTGGTCGTCGTCAGATTTGGTTTTGGCTCCTCCCGCAGCTCGCCGCTATAGGACCCCCTCCATGAAGCTGGTGTCCAGGTGCTGGATCAGCACCCGGATGAAGGACATTTCCTTCCGGGTGTTCTCGAAGATGATCCGTGGGTCATCGGACTGGCAGCGCAGACAGTTGGGGGCCATAACCATGGCCAGGTTATTGACGTCCATCTTGGTGACCGCCACGTTAGCTGGCTGCACGAACACCTGGGGAAGAGAGAGAGGTTACAGCATGCGGGGAATGACTCCCCCTCCAGCCGCATCGCCACCGGCTCCTCAGGCAGCTCTGGGGCCCGCTCAGAATTACCGTCTGAGCTATTAGCACTGCCCAGGTGTCTGCCAGCGTCACAGACCCGGGCCTGGTCTGCTGCCCACCCCTCTGCTTGCCCAGTTCTGGATCTGTTCCTTAATGCCATCTGTTACTATTGTTAAGGAAAAGTTAGCACATGTGACTCCATTTTGGTTTGGGGCCCACCATTGTTTAAATGCCAGCACATCATGCACCAGGAGGAGTGTTCCTTAGATATTGAATCCCTGTGAAAATCCTCCTCCTTGTCTCCAGCCTGCCTTGACTCCCAGTATCTGGTTTTTGTCAGTCTCTAACTCCCTGTCTCTTGGCCTTGATGTGAGGCCTCCCATCCTGATAATAAAAGTTACTGATGCATGGCTTTAGGACCATGCTGTGTAATTAACATACTGGTATAGCACGAGGAATGCACCAAGCAGGGATAGGTGGTAGATAAGACAAGGGTTTGTTTATTGGCTAAGGTTTCCGATGCACGAGGGCAACATGCTTTGCTAAAAGGTATATAACCTTTGTATAATCTGCATTCAGGGTCCCCTCCTGGCTAGCAGAGGGGCACCACGCTCGAGCGTAATAAACTTAGTGTCTTTTGGGAACTCTGCAGTTGTGGACTTTGTTTCTGTCTCAGCCTAGATTCGAACTGTGCGTGACCTATCAGGTATAATTCGCAGCACTGGTGTGTGTGTCCTACCAGGTGTAATTCGTAGCACTTGTGTGCGTGTCCTACCAGGTGTAATTCGCAGCACTGGTGTGCGTGTCCTACCAGGTGTAATTCGCAGCATTGGTGTGCGTGACCTACCAGGTGTAATTCGCAGCATTGGTGTGCGTGACCTACCAGGTGTAATTCGCAGCACTGGTGTGCGTGTCCTATCGGGTGTAATTCGCAGCACTTGTGTGCGTGTCCTACCAGGTGTAATTCGTAACACTATCTGTGCGTCCCAGCAGCCCCTAGAGGCCGTGACTGAGACCAGGGCCCCCAAGTGCCAGGTGCTGCACAGCCCCTGCCTGAGATCGGGGCTCCCATTTTGCTAGGGGCTGCACGAACACTGAGTTCAGAGTCCCCACTGGGCTGGGGCAGCCCAGACCCCCAGACTGAGGCTGCAGCCCCTGTGGTGCCGGGGACTGCACACCCACAAAGTGAGAGACAGTTACCCAGTAAATGCCATTAAGGGCTACAACACTGGGATCGCTAGCGCTAGAGAGAAGCGAGATATTAACTGTGGCTTGTGACAGGAATGGCGACTTTCTCCTTTGCGGTCCATTGTTTTAATTGAATGGTTTATGTCTGACTGTGTTCTACTCCATGGGGGAGGGGGACCACAGCTCCTCCAGGAACTAAAACCCGTGTCTCGGGATGAATCATAGAATATCCAGGTTGGAAGGGACCTCAGGAGATCATCTAGTCCAACCCCCTGCTCAAAGCAGGACCAGTCCCCAGTGTTTGCCCCAGATCCCTAAATGGCCCCCTTGAGGACTGAACTCACAACCCTGGGTTTAGCAGGCCAATGCTCAAACCACTGAGCTATCCCTCCCCCAAGGAGGTGATCAAGGCAAACCAGCCAGGTTGTGACCCCTCGAGAGGTCCACCCCTCCTGGAGAGGCTCCCTAGACTGGTTCAGACTGGGTTCTCCAGACACCAACAGACAAAGAAAGGTCTTTGGGATAAATAGCCTGAGTTTAAACTGACTCGGGGCCTGCTTTCTGCTCCAGCGAGTGAGCAGGACCTTCTGCCTAAGGGGCACACCATCCTTGGGGAAGGACTTACCCTACTAGGCCTGTGATGGGCTTAACCCCATCACCTGTAAAGCAAAGGAAAGAATCTGCTTAGTTATGCTCCGCACCTGGGAGGTGATTAACGAATGACCTGGCCAGAGGCGGTGGAGCTGGGTTGTATAAGCAGCTGAGCAGGGTGGTTGAGGGGAAAAGACCCAGGAGAGAGGAGCTCTGGGGAGCTCCCTCTCCATGGGAAGGGCGTGAAGGCAGGTCCAGTCACTGGGATTGGCTGTGGCCAGAGAGCAGAGCTAAAGGAGCAGGGTCAGCTCCTGTGGTGGGGCCCTAGAGTGGAGAGAGCCTTAGGTAGGCTCTGCAAGGACCAGGGAATGAGACAGACGCCTACAAGGGGCAGAAGGCCATCAGGGAAAACGCTGGGGTGGTGGTGGTGGTGAAGGACCTTTGGCTTAGAGCTGAACCCCGGAAGAGGACTGAAGTTTTGTCACTTGGCCGGAGGGTGGAGCCACAGGAGACCAAGTAAGAGAGTCCAGAGAAGAGACTGGCTGGGGCTGGTCATTATGGCTGAGAAAGTGGCCTCCAGAGGGGGTGTGATGCAAAGTCCCCTGCAATGCTGTGTCCAAGCAGGAGGGAGTTCCCTCGAGGTAGGGATGCGTGTTGACAGGGCCCCAATGGGTGATCTCTGGTAGGCTTTTTAGCAGGCGTGTAGGTTCTTTGATTGTTTTAACACATTTTCTCTGTAATGCTTTTACCTTAAGAATAAATGTACTTCCTTAGAAGGAGTTGTGGGATAACTCAGCTGCAGGCAACACCTTATAACTGCAGGCAACACACTGGTCATGGCCATTGCAAAGAAAGCAAGGCACAGGCTCTGGGCTGTTTAGCTGGTCTGGTTTGCTGGGGACATTGCAGTGTAACCCAGGGAGCTGTGTAGCCTTAAAACCCCAGTCAGGAGGGAGTGAGATGCGGATCTCTCACCAACAGAGGTGATGGCTGGGAGCCAGAAGCCTACAGTGGATGCCCTTGGTGGGCCACGGATGGGGAATGCAGGTGTAGTTGCCCTGAAGTGTGACTATTATTATGAGCTGTGGCTCTGTGTGTAGCTTTGTGTCCAGTGTTGGGCCAGGAAGGACAGGAAATGTGTGTCACTGCTGTAATGTGATGTACACATGGGGTAACATGGAAGAGTAACAATTAGGGCTGTCCATTAATCGCAGTTAACTCACGTGATTAACTCAAAAAAATTAATCCTGATTAAAAAAATTAATCACGATTAATCGCAATTTTAATCTCACAGTTAAATAACAGAATACCAATTGAAATTTATTAAATATTCTGGACATTTTTCTACATTTTCAAATATATTTATTTCAGTTACAACAAAGAATACAAAGTGTACACTGCTCACTTTATATTATTTTTATTACAAATATTTGCAATGTAAAAATTATAAACAAAAGAAATAGTATTTTTCAGTTCACCTCATACAAGTACTGTAGTGCAATCTTTTTATTGTGAAAGTGCAATTTACAAATGTAGATTTTTTTTGTTACATAACTGCACTCAAAAACAAAACAATGTAAAACTTTAGAGCCTACAAGTCCACTAAGTCCTACTTCTTGTTCAGCCAATTGCTAAGACAAACAAGTTTTTTTACATTTATGGGAGATAATTCTGCCCACTTCTTATTTACAGTGTCACCTGAAAGTGAGAACAGACATTCACATGGCACTTTTGTAGCTGGAATTGCAAGTTATTTATATGCCAGATATGCTAAACGTTCGTATTCCCCTTCATGCTTTGGCCACCACTCCAGAGGACATGCTTCCATGTTGATGACACTCATTAAAAAATAATGCGTCAATTAAATTTGTGACTGAACTCCTTGGGGGAGAATTGTATGTCTCCTGCTCTGTGTTTTACCAGCATTCTGCCAGATATTTCATGTTAATAGCAGTCTCAGATGATGTTGTTCCAGCACATGTTCTTCGTTTTAAGAACACTTTCACTGCGGATTTCACAAAACGCAAAGAAGGTACCAATGTGAGATTTCTAAAGACAGCTACAGCACTCGACCCAAGATTTAAGAATCTGAAGTGTCTTTCAAAATTTGCTCAGGATGGGGTGTGGAGCATGCTTTCAGAAGTCTTAAAAGAGCAACACTCTGATGCAGAGACTACAGAACCCGAACCACCAAAAAAGAAAATCAACCTTCTGTTGCTGACAGCTGACTCAGATGATGAAAATGAACATGTGTTGGTCTGAACTACTTTGGATCGATACTGAGCAGAACCCGTTACCAGCATGGCTGCATGCCCTCTGGAATGGTGGTTGAAGCATGAAGGGACATATGAATCTTTAGCGCATCTGGTACATAAATATCTTGCAACGCCGGCTACAACAGTGCCATAAAACCATCTGTTCTCACTTTCTAGTGACATTGTAAACAAGAAGCGGGCAGCACTATCTCCTGCAAATGTAAACAAATTTGTTTGTCTGAGCGACTGGCTGAACAAGAAGTAGGACTGAGTGGACTTGTAGGCTTTACGGTTTCACATTGTTTTATTTTTGAATGTACTTATTTTTTGTACGTAATTCTACATTTGTAAGTTCAACTTTCATGATAAAGAGATTGCTCCACAGTACCTGTATTAGGTAAATTAAAAAATCTATTTCTTTTATTTTTACAGTGCAAATATTTATAATAAAAAATAAATATAAAGTAAGCACCGTACACTTTGTATTCTGTGTTGTAACTGAAATCCATATATTTGAAAATGTGGAAAACATCTAAAAATATTTATACAAATAGTATTCTATTACCTTTTAACAGCATGATTAATTGCATGATTACTTGTGATTAATTTTTTTTAATTGCTTGACAGCCCGAGTAACAATATCAGTGAGCTTATTGGTCTTATTTACAGTGGCTGAGTGATACAGTACCAAATCCCCAGAACACAACAAGGGTCAATGCAATAGCGTCCGTAAGTGCAGCGAAGCTGGGAGTGAGCTGCGTGACAAGGCAGAGGACTGTATCAACACAGCCACGGGTGAGCCCCCCTGGCTGGAGCCCGCCCCCCTGCCCTACCTGTAGGAAGCGGATGAGGTAGCAGAGCACCGTTTTGTTGATCCTGGGCAAAGAGTGGATGACTGCGATGGCTGCCTCTGGGTTCTCGTAGTGGGTGATGCACTGTTCGTAGAACTCATGGGGAATCAGCGGCTCCTCCAGCTCCCGGTACCAGAGCTTCAGCAACGACGCTGCGGAGAGGAGACAAGTAGCAGAGCTCGTGTTAGGTTAAAAAAGAGAGATGCAGAGCTGAGTGTGCAGGGATGGGGCAGGGTGCTGGGTGGAGTGGGGCAGGGCATGTGGGGGTGTGGGCAGCATGCATGGGGGAGTGCACCAGGCATTGGAAGCCCCGATCCAGCAAATCTGACTTGGGGCAGCTTTGATGTAGCCAGGGTTCTTAGAGAGTTTGGAATGCCAGCTGCGCCCCTGGGGCAATCCAAGCAGCCTAGTCAGTTTCACTCTCTGCTTCTCCCCCACCTAATCCTACGTCTGTCCCGGCATGGCAGTGCCATCATTTCCATGTCCCCAAGGAGCCAGCATCTTGACATGTGGCAGGCGCTCCCATGCCATGTTGATCTCCGACTGACCTTCCGATCAGAGTCACCAACCTGCCTCGGGATTTCAATTGTTCATCTTTCTACGTACAGACTTGAAATCTGACCCACTTGTTCCTTATGGGCCCCTGAGTTCAGGTGAGGTGGGGGGAGGAGATGTGGCATTTCTAGGGCCCCTGGTTACGGGGTGAGGCGGGGGAGGGACTGTGGTGTTTCTATCAGATCCCCGAGGAGGACGACAGCTTATCAACGTACAAAGGTCCTTGGAGTTACGGCCATCTGAGGGCACTGGCTCTATCCAATGGATTTCAGCCAAGAAGCCTGTGGCAGCTAATGAGTGAGCCCCAGAGCTCACGGCCACCTTGCCCCAATGTGCAGAGGGCCGGCCGCTAGTCGTCCCTGGCATAAACGCAAAGGTCAGGCATGAAGCGACTGGCCCGAGGCTGAAGGGAGCGTGCTGCCATGGGTGCTGTTTTGGTTCGGTTTAGAGTCCTACACTGGGCACCAACTGGCAGGAAGCGTCGCTGCTTAGAGAGCGATCGATGCTGCACACTTGGGAGAGAGCACGTATCCTTAGCCCATTGGGAGAAGGGTTCTGGGGGAAAGCCACTGCCGGGGACCACAGCAAACAGCTCTTCCAGGAATCTAACCGGCCGTTCGCCCCAATGCTGCTTATATACTTTGTTGCATTTCACTCCCCTTGGAAACTAGGCGGGTCACCTTCCCTTTGGGGGCCAGATCCTCAGATGGAATTGGCAGGAGTCAGTGAACCTCCCCTGATCGACACCAGATGAGGAGTTGGGCTTCTGCTTCTCACCCACACATTCAAGGCTGTTGGGTTTGTGTGATGGCTCCCTATTAGGGGTCATGAGCAAGAACTGAACCCAGGACTTTTAGCGCTAACTCCAGGAGCCTCTGCCACTTGAGCTAAAGGAGCAAGTCCATTAACAGGTCGCAGATTGCACTCCATATGTTTATGGAAATATGCTTATGAGTGTAAATACAATGTAACTGGAATATGCTTTATGCAAAAGGTCTCTTGTAAGGTATCATTACAAAGCTTATAATCTACTGAGTGTGTTCATCCTATTTGTATGAATGTATCATTCTTGTATCTGAAGCTAGAAATATGAAGTATTACTCTGAGGTCCTACTGTAACTATGCAAAGTGTGGGCCATTAATGGTGGCTTGGAATCTTGATGGCTCCCATTAACTAGGACAATTGGTTGTAAATGGCTCTGTTTACTTGCAAGCCTTTCTGTGTCCCTGATGTCGTCTGGTACTGGAATCCATCTTAAACCTGGTCCTTTTCCATTTAGAAGGAGGGGTGGGAACGCAGAGAGAGACAAAGGATTCCCTCCATGTGCCAAAGCTATTAAAGGGGGTGGAACAGAACAAAGGGTCCCAGTCATGTGGAATCCCCTGCTTTTCACCTAAGATGCCTGCTGGAACTAACAAGGTCTGAACCAGGGGAAAGGATTGGGCCCAGACTAGGAAGGAGTCTAGTCTGTGAAAGAAGCTTATTTGAACATCTCTGAGGGTGAGATTTACCTGTATTCAGTTTCTTAATGTATTAAGTTAGCCTTGCGTATTTTGATTTATTTTACTTAGTAACTTACTTTATTCTGTCTATGACTACTTGAAACCACTTAAATCCTACTTTTTATACTTAATAAAATCACTTTTGTTTATTAATTAAGCCAGAGTAAGTGATTAATACCTGGGGGAGCAAACAGCTGTGCATATCTCTCTATCAGTGTTACAGAGGGCGGACAATTTATGAGTTTACCCTGTATAAGCTTTAAAAACAGATTTATTTAGGGTTTGGATCCCATTGGGAGCTGGGTGTCTGGGTGCTGGAGACAGGAGCACTTGCTAAGATGTTTTCAGTTACGTTTGCAGCTTTGGGGGCGTGGTTCAGACCCTGGGTCTGTGTTGCAGCAGGCTAGTGTGTCTCGCTCAACAAGACAGGGTTCTGGAGGCCCAAGCTGACAGAGAAAACAGGCTCAGAGGTAGTCTAAGCACATCAGGTAACAGTCCCAAGGGGGCTCTGTGATCGAACCCGTCACAGCAGTAGTAGGCTCTTATCCAGAACCAAGGGGCTGATTATATTTGTGTTTCCCACCACTGACGGTGAGAGGTTAAAATCCAGTGATATTTAACACCTCACCCCCAGGCCCATTTCTATTCCTGTTTCGCTCTGGCAAGCCCACTGTTTCTATAGAGCATACGCTTGGTTTGACAGTGCCAGCCCCTCTTCAGCTCACAGACCCAGACCCTCAGTCATGCATCTGCGCTCAGCCAAGTTAGAGAGAGGAGATGGTTCCCAGCGCACTTGCTGATCAATTTCCTGCAACCAGCCCATTGCAGGGCTAACAATGCAGAGCAGCTTCACTGACTCAGAGCGCAGCAATTACAGCCAAGGCAGGTTTCCTGAGGAATCGCTGCAGCTGCAGGAAAACATCACCCTGGGCATCCCAGGGAGCAGCAATGCACCAGCCAAAGATGGGCACTGGCACAACCAGGTGGATTCTGTAAGTGGTGTGTATCGATGCACAAAGCCCTGGAACTGGGTCACTGAGAGTGCACAGCCTCAGGCCAAGAGGAAGCTGAATGACAGCCAGAGAACAAGAAGCATCCAGCTTATGAGAGACGCAGGGGAAGGAGACAGGTAGAGCCTCTGTGTCAGGGCTCTGGACTGGTCAGGAGTCATGCAATGAACAAAAGAGGCAGCCGTGGAAAAACCCCATGACTCGACCCCATACAGATGCCATGGGCCAGCCCTAACTGGGGCACCAGCAGCACAGATTCATCCTCCTATGCGGGCACCACGGAGAGGGGCAGCTGTGCTGTGAGGGAGTTTGCTATGTCATCACAGAATGAGGATCAGCCAGGGGCAGGGACCCAAATCCATGGGAACCCAAAACCCGCTCGCACAAAAGCAAATGAGAAAAGATGGCGAATGGAAATCCAGTTTCTATTTTGCTTAAAGGGCTGGAATAATCTCCACTGCCTTTCAGCCAGCTCCACTCACCGCTGGGCCGGGCCGGTGCTGGCGTGGGAGACCGCCAAGGAAGTGCACTGGTAAGCAGTATTTGGCAGAACAGCCCTTTGGTCAGTGAGATACATGCTCAAAGAGAGTCTGTAATGTGGCATTCTCCTGCCATGGGAAGAGGAACTGATCAATCACAGAATCATAGAACTGGAAGAGACCTCGAGAGGTCATCTAGTTCAGTCCCCTGCACTCAAGGCAGGACTATTGTCTAGACCATCCCCGACAGGTGTTTGTCCAACCTGCTCTTAAACATCTCCAATGATGGAGATTCCACAGCCTCCAAAGGCAATTTATTCCAATGCTTAACCACCCTGACAGGAAGTTTTTCCTGATGTTCAACCTAACCCTCCCTTGCTGCAATCTGAGCCCATTGCTTCTTGTCCTAGCCTCAGAGGTTAACAAGAACAATTTTTCTCCCTCCTCCTTGTAACGACAATCTTTTATGTACTTGAAAACTGTTATCATGTCCCCTCTCAGTCTTCTCTTCTCCAGACTAAACAAACCCATTTTTTTCAATCTTTCCTCATAGGTCATGTTTTCTAGACCTTTCATCACTTCTCTGGACTTTCTCCAATTTGTCCACATCTTTCCTGAAATGTGGCGCCCAGAACTGGACACAATACTCCAGTTGAGGCCTAATCAGCGCAGAGTAGAACGGAAGAATTACTTCTTGTGTCTTCCTTACAATACTCCCGCTAATACAGCACAGAATGATGTTTGCTTTTTTTTGCAACAGTGTTACACTGTTGACTCATATTTAGCTTGTGATACACTATGACCCCCAGACCCCTTTCCCCAGTACTCCTTCCTAGGGAGTCATTTCCCATTTTGTATGTGTGCAACTTATTGTTCCTTCCTAAGTGGAGCACTTTGCATATGTCCTTATTGAATTTCATCCTATTTACTTCAGACCATTTCTCTAATTTGTCCAGATCATTTTGAATTTGTCCGTGAACTTTATAAGTGTACTCTCTATGCCATTATATAAATCATTGATGAAGATATTGAACAGAACTAGACCCAGAACTGATCCCTGCAGGACCCCACTCGTTATGCCCTTCCAGCATGACTGTGAACCACTGATAACTACTCTCTGCAAATGGTTTTCCAACCAGTTATGCACCCACCTTATCATAGCTCCATCTAGATTGTATTTCCCCAGTTTGTTTATGAGGTCATGTGAGACAGTATCAAAAGCCTTACTAAAGTCAAGATACACCACATCTACCATTTTCCCCCATCCACAAGGCTTGTTACCCTGTCAAAGAAAGCTGTCAGCTTGGTTTGACACGATTTGTTCTTGACAAATCCATGCTGACTGTTACTTATCACCTTATTACCTTCTAGGTGTTTGCATATTGATTGCTTAATTATTTGCTCCATTATCTTTCCGGGTACAGAAGTTAAGCTGACTGGTCTGTAATTCCCCGGATTGTCCTTATTTCCCTTTTTATAGATGGGCACTATATTTGCCCTTTTCCAGTCTTCTGGAATGTCTCTGGTCTTCCATGAATTTTCAAAGATAATTGCTAATGGCTCAGATATCTCCTCAGTCAGCTCCTTGAGTATTCTAGGATGCAT